TTTTTTTTTTTTTTTTTTTGAGTCAGCTAGTAGACCTGATCTCAGAGCAACTAGTAGGGATTTCAGTATAAGCATTACTGCATAAAATCAACATTTTTCCTAAGGAGAACAGAAAATAAACATTCTGGAGTGCCTGGGTGGCTCAGTCATTACGCGTCTGCCTTTGGCTCAGGTCATGATCCCAGGGTCCTGGGATCAAACCCCGCATTGGGCTCCCTGCTCAGAGGAGAGTCTGCTTCTCCCTCTCCCTCTGTGTGCTCTCTCTCTTTCTCTCTCAAATAAATAAATAAGTCTTTAAAAAAAAAAGAAAGAAAGAACATAAACATTCTATTGTCAATGAAACTAGGAGTCCGGAAAACTCTCCAGATACTAACATAGAAGTAAAACGTGTCTGAGTTGATGCAGGATTTGGGCAGGAGGAAGTAGCAAGTAACACAACGCAAGTAACCACAGAAAGAGATCTCACACAGCACAAGGGCCAAACGGTGGCAACTCTGAAAAAATGCAGGTAAAAATTCACTTTCTAAATAAATGTAAGCTGTACACATTGAGAGGTAAAACTTGTAGCTCTGATCTAGAACAGCAAGACAGGAAAGGCAATGAGCAAGCAGATAAGAAGGTTCGCTGGCCCCTGAGCTAAGTTCAGGGTCAGGGCAACATGCAGTCACATGGACAGGCCATGTTTGAAAGAAGCAGTGTACCTCTGCCGCAGCAGGGAAGGGAAAAGTTCTTATGTTGTGAAAAGGGACTATCCTGGACCCCTATCTCAGCTTCTCCTGCTCCCCAACCCTGAAACCTCTTAGAAAAGCCAGACCAGAAATCATTCAGTTATATTCAAATCATCCAATTATAAGTAATAAAAAGATACTAGCATAGAATTGATACAGTGATCATATAAGAAAAATGGAGAAAAAGAGCAAGCCACTGGCAACTGGCAATGTGGGTATGCAGTAGGGTTCTGGGCATCAGTGAGTGCAGGAGGTCTTCAGAGCACACAGGGTGCTGGGGAGCTTGCAAAATGTGGGCTCAGCTGAAGTCTAGCTTTAGCCTGATTCAGTGGGACACCCTGGAGTATAAATGGCACCATGGAGTGGTCCCATCCTGTCCTTCAGTCATGGGCAGAAAGCATAACCTCAGCCATTTCCTGGGAAGGTAACTCGCATACATCAAGGACAATTCCAAGGAAGTTCAGCTGTGAGTTGGTACCAGTCAACACTGACAGCAGCTAGGAGATGAGTGTACAGGTTTGGTAGAGGAATCAGGGTAGGGTATTAACATTAACTGCGAAGCAGCTGACTAAAGCTAGAAAAAAAAAAAAAGAAAGGAGAAAAAAATAAATTATCACAAGAAAAGTAGAAAATCAAAACAGAAAAAGTATAAGAAATAAATCTAAAATCTGGCTCTGAAAAAAATCACAAGAGGTGGTTGTTCAACATTGCTCTGGTGGTATTAGCCAATGCAATTCGACAAGGGAAAGCAATTAGAGAAACTGAAATTGGAAAGAAACAGGGAGAACTACATACAGATGATCCATGTGTTTCATTGATTGTATTAATGGCCCCTATGCTAGACCTCCCCTGATCCCTGCCCTTTGACCCTGCAATTCTCATAAAGAGGCAGAGAATACTTCCCCACTGCTTGAATCTGGGTTTGGCCACATGATTTGCTTTGGTCATTAAGATACTGGTAGATTTGAGGAAAGCAAAGGCTTAGAAAAGTGCTTATACATTTCCCTTCCTCTCTTACTCCTCTGCAATCCCACAGACACATGCTTGAGCGAATCTAAGAACATGCCTAGGCTAGTTTGCCATGTGGACAGAAGGTATAAAGTAAGAGACATGTGAGGAGAGCCCAGTTGTCTCAGCCAAGGCCATCCTAGATCAGCCTACCTCCAGGCAAGGCCCACACTGGAAGAGCCTGGTCAAGATCAAAACTGCCTATCACAGCTGACTTTGTGAATGAGCCAAGGTCAGAAGAACCTCTCAGCCCCCACAAACTCATGATCAATAATAAATGTGTATTGTTTTTGAACCACTATGTTTTGCATCATAGCTAATTGATACAATATGACTATGTACCTGGAACCCTCAAGACCACCAACTAAAATTACTGCAAAGGGCGCCTGGGTGGCTCAGGTGGTTAAGCGACTGCCTTTGGCTCAGGTCATGACCCTGGAGTCCCGGGATCGAGTCCCGCATCGGGCTCCCTGCTCAGCGGGGAGTCTGCTTCTCCCCCTGACCCTCTTCCCTCTCGTGCTATCTCTCATTCTCTCTCTCTCAAATAAATAAATAAAATCTTTAAAAAAATAAATAAATAAAATAAAATTACTGCAAACAAGAATAGCTTGGCAAGGGCACCTGGGTGGCTCAGTCGTTAAGTGTCTGCCTTTGGCTCAGGTCATGACCCCAGGGTCCTGGGATCGAGCCCCACATCGGGCTCCCTGCTCGGCGGGAAGCCTGCTTCTCCCTCTCCCACTCCCCCTGCTTGTATTCCCTCTCTCGCTGTGTCTCTCTCTGTCAAATAAATAAATTAAAAAAAAAGAATAGCTTGGCAAGAAATACAGGTAATCAAAGTCAGTAGCTTTCATATGGTTATATAAAGAGTTTGAAAATACGTGGAAAAAAAGATTCCACTTGCCAAAGTTATAAAACAAAAGAAAAATATACTTAAGAATAAATTTTTAGATGTACTTATATGAATAAAACTGTAAAACACTCCTGGAGAACACATGAAAAGACTTGAACAAACAGAAATATGTACTGTGTGGGTTTTTTTTAAAAGATTTTATTTATTTGAGAGAGAAGGGGAGAAAGAGAGAGAGAGCATGGGGGAGAGGGGCAGCAGGAGAGAGAGAAGCAGACTCCCCGCTGAGCAGGGGAATCAAGAGACATTTCACACTACAAAACCAGACAGTAAAGCCTATGGGAATGCCATGAAGTGTGTTATACAGACAAGATTCTAAAACGTAAGTTATTAGCTATTCCCTTCACATTTCCATTCCAGCAACTTTTCGATAGAATGGTTGTTATTCACCTACTTTAAAATTTTAATTCACATCTATTCTCATATTAAACTAAGCTTCCTGCTCATACTGATGCCAAGCACCTCATAGGAGTCAAGTTTGAGTAATGATTTTATGTTAATCTGCGCAGAAAAAAGAAGACAGACTGCAAGATCGGGCAAGGACAGTGAATGCACAGATAATACACACATTGGCCAAAGGAACTGAGAAATTATTTAAAAACTATAACATAAACAGAACTCAAGAAAACTGGGTTACTAATAAATAGTTCTCAACTATTAATACCCAAGTTAAAGAAATTCTGTATTCAAAATAGAAAAATGTGGATCAAGAGACATTAAAAAACATTTTCCAACAGAGACAAGTTAAGACATTTTAATTAGAGGTCTATCCCATTCCCCAGCCCACCCTCACTCCCAAAATGCACTACCAGAGATGAGTTTAATGTTACATGGGCAGAAATAGCACAACACTGCAAACATCTAAAAGATGAGTGATTGAGTGAAGTACGGTCTAGCCTAACACAGCGAGATTATTACATAAAAAGGAAAATCTGTCTATACGCCTATATAAGGAAATTGCCAAGATGTTTAAATGAAAAGAAGCAAGGTGCAAATAAGCAAATATATTACTTTTACTGCTGTACTAGATGTTAAAAAGGGGGGTGGGGAAGAAGACTACATATTTGCTTGCCTATATGTTGTTGCTATTTTTTTATTCTCTTAAGGGAAACCCCAGAAGCTACTAACAGTGTTTACCTTTTGTGTATGTGGGGCGGAAGAGGGAGAAACTTGGCAAATGGGAAATAGTACTCTACCTTTTTATGTGTTCCAACTTTTAGATCACATTAAAAGACCTTTTAAAAAAAGACGTTTAAAAAGATTTTTTTTAGATATTTTCAA